CCTCCCCTCCCCTCCCCTCCCCGGGTCGCTTTGTCGGGCTCGGGGTTGTTTTACCTCGTCTTGTGCTTGGGGTTGGTAATTGGGCCGTGGTGAGGTAATTGGCTGGTTGGAGGCACCAGGCGGGCGCAGCCAATCAGGGCGCCGCTTGCATCGGGCTTGAGTTATTAGACGCGGCTCGAAAGGCATCCTTCAGCAGACAGCCAAGGAGAGGCCGGCCAGAGCGGGCGGCCATTTTTCTGCAATGGAATTAAATGGCCAGCTGGGTGTTCCTTTGTTCGCAGGAATCCTCGCCGGCCCGGGCAGGACTGCTCCCCGGGTGTGTCAATGTCTGACCACCGTTAGAGGACTCACAGGAAGAAGGAAGACGTTATAAAAAGAGCTGGATTTTTCCCTTTGACTCGGAGCCCATCTTGGTCTCGTGTCTTAACTAGGTCATGGCACGCCCTTAGGCCAGCAGTCCCAGTTTTGAATGAGCAAAAACAGTAAATACATACGTCTTTTTGGTGTGTTTCTATTTTTGAAAGCTTTTGTCTCTCTGCCTGAAGTATACATTTTTAGACAAGTCTTAAACACTTAAAATACCTGGCCATCTGTTAAGTTAAACCCTTCCGTGCTAACGAGGTAAATATAGAGGTAGGAACCGTGAATTCTTGCAAAAGGGCAGGATAACTTTTTTTTCCTTTTACATTGTAAGTACCCAATCCATTCTGTCCTTCTTAATAAGTGTAGTTTTCATGTTAATGTTACTGGAGTTCTCCTTATTTATTTTTCTCAGACTTCATCTGCATGTCATATTTTTTGTCTTGTTTATCTAAACCAATTGCTTCTGAAAGGCTTTCTGAATCAAGCGTATTTCGCTAGAGATGCTTAAGATGTTTACATACAGTAACTTAACTAGGCGTAGTCACACTAACATGTACAGATTTGAACGGTATTTGGTCATGTTTTTGAAAAGATGGGGGAGGCAAAGGGAAGGAAATACACGTCGTTGCCTTTATGCGCGGCGTAAATCTCAGCGAAATGTGCCGATTTAAGTCTGCCGTTGGCAGCCACAATGAGCCGGATACTGTTAGTCAAAATCAGTGGATGTTTAACCCTTCTTTTGCTTTTGTTTTTTGCTATGCCATAGAAATGACTGGATGAGAATTGATTTGCAAATGTGCGACAGATCAGACAGAATGTAACCAATATTTAGAAATAGTGTTTTTCCCCCTCTATCCCCCCCCTTCACCTTCAGAACTGCATCAACTGTGGTGTGCGGGTAAGTAAACCTTTTGCCCTTGCAGTGCAACGGAGCAGGCCTCTGCGACAAAACGTTTTCCTCCAGGGCGGACATCCGAGCTACTTTCGGTGGGGGGAGAGCGCTAACGATCTCGGGGCTGGGGGGATTCACAATGAGGATCTGAATCTTTCCTTCCCTCCCTCCCTTCTTCCTTCCGTCCATCTTCCCGAAACAAAGCGCTTGGCGTGGCTTGAGTCGCAGGGGTTTTTCCTGGCGGATCCATGGCGGCTTTGGAGAGCTGCTCCCCTTGAAAGTCGGACGGGGGGGGGTTTTTTTGCTCAGTTTTCAGTGCAACCGAGGAAAAGCTGTTAGTTTTGCTCCCTGCGGCTATTGGGGAGGGTGGGTTGTGCTTTCTTTAACGCCTCTGCTTTTTGGAGCAAGAGTTTTGGCGACCCGCAGCAATGGAAGCGGCTTGGCGTTGCTCGAGCCC